AAGTGTGATCATCCCCACCACTTGTATGTGAGCAAAGGAAGTGGCTACAAGGCATGGGATGGCTCCCATGAGTGGAGAGTTGCAATGAAGCAGTGCAGGCTCTTTGTGAAGGACAGGCTGGGAAGATAAGCAAGGGGAGTTGCCCTCCATATGAGAGAGCAGCTGGAGTGCATGGAGCGAGCTCTGTCTGGCAATGGATTAAAGGGAAGAGATGGTTAGTTGATATTATGACGAATGTTAGCAACAAGCCATCTGACCAGAAAGAACAAGTGGAGGAGATCCTATGCAGACAAATAGGAGCAACCTCACATTTGCAATACTTGGATCTCATGGAGGACTTCAACTTCCCTGATACCTTTTGAAAGGATAACACAGCAGAACAGCAGCCATAAGGCAGTTCGTAGAGGGTGTTCATGGTGATTTTCTCCTCCAAGTGACAGGGGAACAAAAAAGAAAAGATGCTTTGCTGGAACAACTGTGTCCTGGTCACAAGAAAGTGAATGTCAAAGGCAGCCTTGGCTGCAGTGACCATTAAACAATGGAGATCAGGAACCTGAGGGCAAGGAGGATGGTGAAAAGCAAGTTTACAGCTCTGGAATTCAGAAGAGCAGATTATGGCCTCAGTGAGGATCTGCTTGAAAGAGTTGCATAGGATTAGGTCCTGAGAGGAAGCGTTGACCAAGAAAGGTGGTTAATTTTAAACAATTGCCTCCTCCAAGCTTGAGAGAAGTTCATTCCAATAAGCAGGAAGTCAGGCAAAAATGCTAGGAGGCCTGCATGGATGAACAAGGAGCTCCTGGCCAAACTCAAACACAAAAAGAAAGCATGTAGAAAGCGGAAGCCAGGACAGGTAACGTGGGAGGAAGAGAAAGACCAGGTAGGATTGCATTTGGCCAGGGATGTCAAAGACATTAAGAAGGGTTTCCATAAGTACATCAGAGGTAGAGGAAAGACTAGGAAAGATGTGGGCCAGTTGCTCAGTGAGACAGGGGACGTGGTTACATAGCAAAGGAAAAAGGCTCCTCTGAGGAGGAAGTGTCATCTAAGGAGTTAACAGGAGTTTCCTGGTGTCAGCTGACCTTTGCAGAAAAGCAAGTTTTGAGGGAGCTCCTGGTATTTGTAACGAAATTGCATTTTTGGACTAAGTATCAGAAGTTGCTCAAAATAAGGAGTGCCACCTTAAAAAAAAATGTGTCCAGGTCACCCATTCTTCTAATACACTCAGTTCAACGTGTACAATATCTTTATGATCTAAAGGCATTCTTACATTCTCATCTGGGTCATGATGCTAGCAAGCTGTATATGGCTATGAACTACGTCATTTTTTCTTATCTGATCTTGTTAGCATGACCAGTTCAGACATAATCCAGTGCAAACATGAACCTCATCAGACATAAATTTGAATGCCTTAATCAACTGACTAAGTTTTAGCTGGGATAGAGCTGTTTTTCTTCATAGTGTCTGGTATGATGCTATGTTTTGGTTTTAGGAGAAAATTGTTCTTGATTACACACCAGTGTTTCTAGTTGTTGCAGAGAACCACTGTATAGAGCCAAGGGAGGAGGCTGGGAGGGACAAGGAGCTGGGAGGAGACAGAACCAGGACAGATAACCCAAACTGGCCAAAGGGCTGTTTTATACCATATCAAATCATGTGAAAAAATGATAAAACTGAGGGGAATTGGCCAGGGGACAGTGGAATCAAGTGCACCTTGAATGACATCAAACTGAAAGGTGCAGTTGATATGACAGAAGAAAGGGATGCCATTCCAAGGGACCTGAACAAGCTTGAAAAATGAGCCTATGTGAACTCCGTGAGATTCAACATGTCCAAGTGCAAGGTTGGGGTTGCACTTGGGTTGGGGCAATCCCAGGTATGTGTATAGATTGGGAGAAGTTCAGAGCATCCTTGGGGGCTGTCCTGGAGGATGAAAAACATGAGCCAGCAGTGTGCACCTGTGGCCCAGAAGGCCAATTGTATCCTGGGATGCATCAAAAGAGGGGTGGGCAGCAGGGTGACGGAGGTGACTGTCCCATGTGAGGTACTGCATCCAGGCCTGGGGTCCTCAGCTCAAGAAAGATGCAAGCTGTTTAAACAAGTCCAAAGAAGACCAAGCAGATGATCAGAGGGCTGAGGCACCTCTCCTAAGAGGTCAGGATGAGGGAGCTCAGTTGCTTAGCCGGGAGAAAACTCTGGGGAAACCTCATTGCAACCTTCTAGTGCTTGAAGGCTGCCCAGAGAGGTTGTGGATGACCCATCCCTGGAGGTGTTCAAGGCCAGGTTGGATGGGGCTCTGGGCAGCCCAATCTCATGCGTGGCAACTACCCATGGCAGGGGTTTTGGAACTAGATGATATTCAATGTCCCTTTCAATCCAAGCCATTCTGTAATTCTATGATAACTCTATGATTCTATGACTCTGTTCTATGGTTCATTACTTTTGTTTTTAGACTGTACTAGGGAATTTTCAAATAGGTTTCCAGTGAAATGAGATAAACAGAAGCAAAATAGAACAGGCCTATAAAATAGCGCTGCCGTGTGCTGTTGTGCTCCTTCCTGATCTCCAGGTTTGAGCATTTTTGATGTCTATGCGCCATCTCTTGTTTACTGTTAGATGTAACAGGGTTTTGTTTGATTGTGCTCAAATAACATTTTCTTCCCTTTCCTTCCCCTCCCTCAGACCATTGCTTTCACTTACCTGTCAGGTGTGCTGTTAGAAAAACTGGAAAGTTCTTCCAGTGCAGCTGCAGGAAATGGTGAGAGATGTTCTCTAGATGAACGAAGCATTGTGGGATACTTGACTTAGCTGTAGACTTAGATACAGCAAATGTACTGCGAAATTTTACGAGTTCTGAAAACAAGTGGAAGGACTGAGGAAAGACTGAAAAGGGAGCTGAGCTGCCACTTCTTCTTTAGATCGATGCTTCGTTTTTATGGAGGCACATCTGTCAAGTAACACAGTAAATCAAGCTGCCAGAATTTTCTCAGTGTTTCTAATCTCTTTCTCTGTTCTACTACTAGAGGTGCGTATTTAGAGACATGTTGCACAAGACAACATTTTTTAGGGCTGTCTTCTTTGAACTATAAGGCAAGACCTTTACAGGGTTACTTATCACATATTTCCCCAGCTGTGATGTAGTCATACACTCTCTTGAATACAGTCAGCGTGCTGTACAACAGCTAGCTGTCCTAATTACAGAAATGCTAGAATAAAGAATGTAGAGATTATGCAGGAGTTGAAAGCTAATGTTCAGGTGGCCAGTGTCCACATTATTTCCAAGTTATAAAATAGCTAGAGAATCCTGAGTGCATTAATGGAAAGAAATGCTTTGATGTATTTACCTTATGCAGAAGTATACCAGTAGATTGTCTTCAGAACAGTCTTGCATTCCAAAGAATTGAACACAGCATGATTTCCCAAGATCACTAGTGTGTCCTAGATAATTATAGTCTGACTAGTGGCTGTGAGAACTGCAGTAGAATAAGCATGTTAATTGCCTTCTTAATTTGTCTCTTCAAATTCATTACTTTTAGTACTGTCTTTCCACAGTTACCTTATTTTTTACAGAAAGGGTCAGTTCTGGGAGCCTCAGATAACACTACTACTGCGCTGCATCTTGGCCTCAGTTCAGTAGCTTCAAAGCAGAGCAGCAGCTATGTGAGATGTGCTCAACTAGCATGCTTGGGTGTTTTGGAGGATTGTGGCTGCAAGTAACAGAGAATCACAGAATCGCTGTTGGAAAAGACCTCTAAAATAATCTAGCCCAACCACCAACCTGCCCACCAAACCATGTTCTTCAGTACTTCAAGAGGTTCTCCTGGGCCCACTGCCCAACCCTGTCTAGCCTTTCTGGAAAACACAGGCTCATTTCCCATGGGCTGCCTCTTCCTTCCAGTCTGTCCCATCACACGACTTGCCCAGTCACTTTAAGATTTTCACCTCTTCTAAATCTGGTTGCTTTTGCCTCATTTTCCTTATCCCCAAGTTTGAACAGCTGTCCCAGCCCTGGAGCCTTTATTAGATATCAATCAGTCTGTCTTCTCAAATGAAATGTGCCTTCTATGACAGCAGCAGTGGAGTGAAGAGGTCAACAGCCCCCACTTGCTTAATAAGGGAGTGAAGTTAGTGGGCACAGAGGGTTTGGTTGTTGATTACACCAAATCTAATCTATGGACTGCAAAGCTTTATTACAGAGATCCAAATTAAAAAATCTTGCTCCAGGTCAACCCTGTTCTCTTTCTTCATTCAGAAGTCTAATACACAGGTTGTATGTTTTACTTTATTGGGCAGTCAAGACATACCTTCATTTTATACAGCAGAAACCAGAAGATATAAGAGGATTCACTTAACAAGTACCAAATTAAGCACCAAAATTACCAAATATAAAAACTAATTCATTAGCAAGTACCAAGAGATGTGGAACTGTTGGAGTGGGTCCAGGGGAGGCCACCAAGAGGGCTGGAGCATGTCTGCTATGAAAAAAGGCTGAGGGAGCTAGGCTAGTGCAGCCTGAAGAAGTCTCTAGCCTTTGGCTGCCTGAAAGGAGCTTACAATCAGGAGGGAATGTGACTTTTTACATGGTCAGATAGTGACAGGACAAAGGGGAACAGTTTTAAGTTTAAAGGGGAGAATTAGATTAGATGTTAGGAAGAAATTACTTACTTAGAGGCACTGGAACACGCTGCCTGGAGAAGCTGTGAATGCCCCACTCCTGGAAGTGTTCCAGGCCAGGCTGGATGGATCCCTGGGCAGCCTGATAGAGTAGGTGGGCAACTCTGCCCACAGCAGGGGATCTTTAAGGTTCCTTCCAAACCAAGCCATTCTGTTACTCTATGATTCTATCAATTATGAGGCTGAGCTTCTTTCTTCAACTTAAAAATACTCAAGATTTTTAAAAACATTTTGGAGCTTACATTCACTGTCTTTTAATCTCTTTCATTTTCTTCCCTCTTCCTGACCCAAGAATAACAGATAGAATAACAGATAGAATAACACTGTGATTATTTTGTTCCAGTTTATTTTTGAAAAAACATTTCAGCATAGAAACAATAATTTTATTGGAAGTAACAAAACTGCAGGAAGATTTAGCTCACACTGCTGCACAATGTATGTTTTGCTATTAGAAAGCTGCTCTCTGGCTAGAATTCCTACAACTACAGCTGCTTTAAAGCTGCTCAGCAGTTTGTGACAAACAGCATTTTCATTTTTCTAACATACCAGCAGTTGTACACCATGTGTGCCAGACCTGCAGCTCTGAAAGAGGAAGTGGTAAACGGGAGGTACAAAACTAATCTTTCAGTAGCTGTGACATTCGTTTTTGTGCCACTGGCACTCACAATTTCCAAGGGAGCAACTCCTTCCACCTCATTTCAGTTTCACGGTAGGCTCACTTGGAGTTTTGTCCTCGTTTGCCTCTAATTCGTTTACCTCCTGTAACTCATCCTCCAGCTCACAGTCTGACATCGATTCAGCGCTATCGTCGACGTAATCAGCTTCATATCTGCCCAGTAAGTATTTCTGTGGTGTAATGTCATCGTCGGGAATATTCTTTGTTTTCTTCTTTTTCATTTTCTTTTGAATCTTAGACAGCTGCTGCGCCTGGCTTTGCGTCCACGGAACACTTTCTGTAATTCTTGACAGTTTCAGTTTTTTGTATTCCTTTATCTGCTTATTCAGCAGTTCATGATCAATCCCAAAAAGATTAGACCGGATAGGTGAGTCTGAAGATTGAGTTGCAGAAGAGAATGATTCACTGTGAAAAGGTTAAAAAAAACAAACAAAAAAAGTTGTCATTTTTCCTCGCCTGTGTATTAATTAAGGAGCAATACTAATTGGGACAAACAGGAAGAAGGGATATCACTGGACCACGCGTCTGGGGACTGCCTATATTTAAGCTTGTTAGCATTTCAACAGGCCTTAAGTGGGGAAGTAAATAAAGCAACTACATTCCAGACAAAACTGCCAACAGAATGAGCACTGGACCTGGGAGGAAGTTACACAACTCCTAGGTTTTCCAAGAAGTGAAAAAACCTGTGCTCAGAAATATTAATTAAACCAGACTGAAGTATTTCATGGGAAATATATGGGAAAGACTATCACAACAGGGATTTTTCCCCCAAGAAATTTCTGATTTGCAACTAATGCACAGCCCTGTGAGACAAAGAGGCATAAAAAGTCATTCCCACTGAAAGACTACACAAGTGGAGGCTTCTGGTTTTGAGAATGTCCAGCCCACAGGATCTAATTGTTCAACATTATACCTCAAGAGCTATAAAACAATGCTAAAGTAATGTTTAGTTAATTCAGGGAGACCTGTCAGTAAACTCTACTCATGTACAACCATAACTATCCAAACTTCTACCAGTATAAACGCATTGTATTTATACTGGTAAATGTAAGGCTTTTAGAGCCATGATGAGTCCATCAGCAAGAAAGAAATATTCCTGCTATGAGCACTTGTAAAAAAAAAAAAAAATAAAAAATAAAAAAAATAAAAAAAAAGTAATTATTGCAAACATACTGAGTCTTAAATTCCAAGTTCCAAAATTATTGCTCTCACAAATGGTACTCATAGCAGAATAAGTACTGGGTCCCAAGTCTTGTTAATACGTTGCTCCAATTATAGATGTCAAACAGCTGATTGTAAAGACCATGTTCTGTTATTACCTTAAGGGTTAGCTGCTTCCAGAAGCATACACACTACAGCATTACAAACTGCAATTCAGCCATTTTCCACAGCTTAACACAGGTCCACTTACATATAAAAATATAGACTTTCTGTTTCTATATTTGCAAACCTGCAGGGAGATACCTGTGCACGATAACCGGAGACAAAATAGCCCATAAAAACATCTGCTCTTAAATATGAAAGTAAATCAGACATATATAAGAAGAAATATCTTCCCTCCGTTTTAATAGGTGGCTGTAACACTTGCAAAGAAAGCTTAAACCACAAATTGAAATGCTACATTTAACTTCCTGGATAATTATTTCTTTTTTTGTCCCAGGTTATCCTGTAGGTTTGTTTATAAAAGGGCTCCTAGTTGGTACGGGCTTCCACACAGTATCTTTTTTTCTGCTTCTTATACCCTGCTGCTATGAGACAACTTCAGTTACAAATCTAACTAAAATACACTTTGTGTCACATCAAATAATCTCCAACTTAAACTGGCCAACAGAGGTGAAAACAGACATTTGTATCCTTTTGATTCAAAAAGCCCACCTGGAATTATTTTGAGACGTTTCTTCTTCCTGAGGTCCAAAATCAGCAACAGCCAACAATTCCTCAACCTGTAAATATTTAAGACAATAGATGTTAAAGGCCTTGTAAACAATATATTTAGTTCATACCTTAACAACAGACAAATATCAAATAGCATGTATACATTTTTTTCTACATTCCCAAACTGCCCTTTCAATACTGTGAAACATAGAGTCTAATTCTGCACTGCTTGTGAGATGAGTTTAAGTCACATCTGATCTTGTGAATATTTTAGTTTACAGAAATGCCAGGAACTGCTATTCTTCTTGCCTAGAAAGCTTGTTCCAAATATTGGAACTGAGCCATGGATTGCTACTCCCACAATTATCTTTTTTTGCCTTATATATTCTGAACAGCTGGTCAGGAATTGCGTGACACATATAATTACTTTCATTTGGTCTTAGTGCACCTTTCAAAATCCTTTTTCATAACGTTCTTACACTGGGACTTTTTTGCTTTCTGTAAGATTTTGTCTGGTAAATGCAATTTCCTACTTCCCTTTAACATCTAACTAGTAAATGCTAAGTAAAATCTAGCATATCTAGGGCTTACAAAATTTTCCCCATTAGGTACAATTTGTCTCATTTGATATTTTTATTTCTACGTTTATTTATCATAGAAACAGAGAATCATAGAATGGCTTCGGTTGGAAGGAACCTTACAGATGACCTGGTTCCAAACCCCCTGACTCAGGAAGAGTTAGCAGCCACCACATCAGGCTGCCCAGCGATCCATCCAACCAGCCTTGAGCAGCTCCAGGAAGGGCCATTCACAACTCTTCTGGGCAGCCACTTCTCACTACCCTCTGAATAAAGAATTGCTTCCTAACATCCAATCTAAATCTCTCTTTTAGTCTAAAAACGCTCCTTCTTGTGCTGTTGCTATCAGACTGCATAAAAAGTTGGCCTCCCTCCTGTTTATAAGCTGCCCTTGAGAACCGAGGGCCCCAACGCCATCGCCGTGCAGCTTCCTCTCCTGCAGGCTGAATAACCCCAGCTCCCTCAGCCTGTCTTCATAGGAGCGGTGCCCCAGCTCTCTGAGCATCTCCATGGCCTCCTCTGCATCTTCTCCAGCAGCTCCACATCTTTCTTTTGCTGAAGGCCCCAGACCTGGATGCAATACTGCAGGTGAGGCCTCACAAGGGAAGAGCAGAGGGAAACAAACTCCTCTCCTCCCTGCTGACCTCTGTGCAGCCCAGGATAGAGTTGGCCTTCCGGGTTTCAAGCTCTGGCTCAGATCAAGCTTTTCATCTACCAGGACCCCAAAGTCCTTCTCTGCAGGACCATTCTCAAAGCAGTTCCTCTCCCAGCACGTTCACCTATCCAGGACTGTAACATCTTGCCGTTGGTGAACCCCACGAGGTTCACAGGGGCCCACTTTTCAAGGCCTGTCCTGGACCCTTTGGATGGCATCCCTTCCTCCTGTCAACTACACCAGCTTAGTGTTGTCTACATCCCTTCTAAGTCATGGTTTTCTCTTTTTAATGGGAGGTAATTAGGATGGCACTTCCGTCTTGCAATAGTTAAAAATCATTTTCAGCTACGTTATTTCAAGTCCTGTTATTTGAATCTGATGGATTGCTTAAATCTCGAATTTCAAACTATGAAAAGATCCAGCAAAGTGCTTCCCAGGGCCATTCATTGACAGAAACTATGGAGGGAAGGTTTTTGCACATCTTGAGTGCTTAACTGTCTTGGTGGTTGTGCACTGAACTTTAAGATAAGGCAATCCTAGGGTTTTTCATCTCCAAAAAAGTGGTTGTTTAAAGAAGTTTGAGAAACAGTGACTAACAGAGCAGGTTTCATCACAACCAAGGTATCGAGCTGCAGGGATGGACAGCTGTAGCTCCAGCTAATTACGTTAATACCACAGCAACTGTAATGACAAAGCTCTTCCAGAATCACAAGCAGACTGCATACTGTGTCAGTTAGAAGAAGTGTAAGAACAAGTATGAAGAGCTCTCAGAGGTGCTTAGTTCACTTTTATTTTTCTGCTAATGTAGGTGACAAACATTTGCACTGGGGATCTGTACATTGGCATGGAACTTTTCACTATGTTCTAGCCATCTAGACATCTACTGAATTTCTGGAAAGTATGATGCTCTTATGTCTCCCAGTTCTGCTCACATGAGCCCACAAATGACTAACAAATAGCAAATGATGGCCACAATAGCAGCACATCTAAGAATAAGGCAATTAAAGGCACAGAAATATGAACACGCCCTCTTCAGGTAATGCTCTCTAATGCACATCAACAGCTTGGGGATGCAATTTTGCATGAAAATTCACTCACTGGTGCCATCTTTCTGCTTTAGTAATCTCACTCTGTAGTCTTAACAACAGCAAATTCCCAGAAAACATCATTCTAAAAATATTTCCACATCGCGATAGAAAACCTGGAATATTAAAGGTAAGTTAAAAAGTTGGGGGGAAGCATGCAGTGTGCAAAGATGTGCAATTCCAGAGAAAAACTGTAATAATTCACAGTTGTGAAAACATTAGGCTTCAGAAGAAATAAATAAATAAAATCACTGAATAGATTCACTAGCATTTCAAAAACACATCATATTCAAAGTGTGGAACACAGTTCCTCAGAACTCATTTCATACATAATTATGTGTGCTAGGCAAATGGCTACCATATGTTCATTAAGAGTGTAATGTCATATTTTGGGGCTGCTTACTTATTAGCCTCATTATTTCTCACAAGCATCTCTGAATATTTCACTTCAGAAATGTTAACAGTAGCCTCAAAAAAAAAAGTTAACAGGGAAATAGCTACAAAGATTCTTTTACACTGCATAAAAACATTAATCTTACCAAAGATTATTTTCTAAAATGCTCTGGAAGATGAAGAGGTAGGGGTGTAAGGCTGATTTTTAATGGAGCAATTAATGTTTATCTACTGAACATCAGCCCTCTCAGTATTCATACACAGTGCGTATCATAGTACTTGATCATAGAGTCAAGGATTACAGTTACCTCTTTTACAGCTGCAGCTGCTTTGTCTTTTACAAATACTACTGGGGGCATATTTCCTAGGATTCGTTGACTCATCAGAAGATACCTGGCAAAAATGCAATATCAAGCAGTGTGAATACAAGTACAGCACCTTGAGGAAAGATAAAATGCATTAATTCCATGAATATTACAAATTTAAGGATTTTGTTTGCAAAACTTGCAGTCTGACAAATAGCCATTCTAGTTAGTGCTAAGGCACTAACTTTCATCAGTGCAGAACCCCAAATCTGAATGTGTAACACACAAAAACTACTAGCTGCAGATGACACTGGATAGAAATAGCATTAGGTTTGCATCCATTATGCACAGGCTAGCCTGGGTCTTTCCCCTTCTGATTTTCACAGAGTGTGGAAGGAGAGCACTGTGCTGGAGCAGGAATTACAAAACCTAGGGAAACAGGGGAAAAGGAAACAGACCTACAGCATGTTTCAATGACACCTTCTTCCCCATGGGGTGAAATTCTGACCCTCCAACAGACAAGTTGGACTGCAGAGGGTAAGCCAAGCAAAGAGGGAGACAGAAGTCTCCATGGTACCCTGCAAACTCACCAGACCCTGCAAAAAGTGAGTAATCATCACAGTGTATGGCAGCATACTGACATTTGTTTTTTGTCATCAGCACTGTGAAGAATTTCTGTAAGATCAGTCACCATTTCAAGATGTCCAAAGCGTCTCTAGAGACCAGATTTGCCCAGTGAACCTCTAATGTGATATTTGTAACTGCCAATCCTTTTGTGCAGCATCATATTCTGGCCCACTGCCACGCACAGCGTGTCGAGGCCACCATCACTGGGTACAATGAAATGTTGCTTTAACCAAACTCTTCTGTTCTTCTGCTCAGCCCACTCCAAACCTTTGGAAGCACAGACATGTAAAGCTAGCCGTGCTTCAGTGGGAGAATTCACAGCTGGTCTGACACAGCTACCCATCCGAAACACTAGAGCATGCAAACAGGTCAGATTTAGACTGCTAGCAATATTGAGGAACGTTGCTAATACATGGCAAAGAACAGGTGAAGCAGTCTAACTGTCCATCAGGCAGCAGTACCGGATACGTGGAGCACTTTTCCGCAGCACCCCTTCAACATAATTATCACTGGCTGTAGTAGAAGCAGGATTCCAGTACACACGACATGCTGAAAAGTTGGATGCCAGGGACACCTGCAGAAAGACAAAGGTCTCTTTAAAATTTCACATCCATATATGCACATCCACACTTCACATACAGCCAACCTCTGATCTACAAATAAACATTCAGTGATCCAAACTAAATACCTACCTTTTTAAGGGAATCTTCTCTTCCATTCTTGCTCTTAAAAGCCAAAAATACAGTGTCTTTACAGAGCTATGGTTTAACAGCAATTAAGATCTACGTTCAATATCCAAAGGAGCTTTTTTATTTCTGCAAGTTACCGTCCAACCTCCCCTTCCATTGAAATTACACAAAGGAGAAACCTGTCAGCTCCTGTGTGTACTGGCAGGGTACATTTAGTCAGTGTGAGGGTTCTATCATCACAACTAGCCCAGAACAGCAATTTATTCCATGCTGTTTTGGAATACAGTTATTGAAAAGATATGTTGCTGCTAAGAAGGACTCGTGATGCAGCCCGGTCTGTTGTCATCAGAAGCTTGGCTCTGACACTGACAGGAAAAAGAATGGCCTCCATATCATTTGATGGAAACCTCTTGTGGGAACCTCTGGTGTTTGAACCTCCAGCTCACTGACATAATCTTCACTGCATTATGCATGCAATTTAAAAGGCTTGGTATGCCAAAGTCCTACAATTCTGTGATCCTGTGAGATGGGCTACAGTCCTCCTGAAGAACAAGCTTTGAAAAATCAATTCAAAACTGAAAGATCTGCATAACTACCATTCGTCACATCTAGCCACGGTGAGTTACCAAACGTTCTCACTGTGACAACACGCTCAGCAAACTTCTAATAACCGACCCAGCTCAACCAAATGAAGAAGTTGAGGAGGAAGGCAGCATGAACACCTCACTGCATGGCACAGTGCAGAGGTCACGTAGTCTAGAAACCAATTCCTGAAAGATACAATCAGCAGGAAAAGTCAACTCAGAGTTCACTGCCAGGAAAGAAAACTGCATGGCAGTCAAGTCTGCAGTCAATAAGTTAAGAGTGCTGCTCCTTCCTGGGACAGAATGGGCTGTCCATTCCCAAATCGAGTCCGAAACAAGCACACAAACAAACCGACCCAACACAAGCCATTCCTTGGTCATTATGTGAGTAATGTTATGGAGTGAATAAAAACTTGGGTGTTTCAAGCCTGAAGTATGTAAACTTCAACTTTGATACTGGGAAAAAACAAGTTCTGCTGGATAGCAGAAAGCCTTCAAGAGGGTTTACTTTGATAAGAGAAGTAACAGTACCAGATCGGAATTAGCTGAGGAGTAAATCAAGTCTCAGCCACATCTTAGAGCAGCACCAACAACAAACACTGCACCGTTTCAATAAAATCTGCACTACATTTAGAAAAAAGCTGCTTCTTTCCCTCCCTTTAGGGAAAAACAAGTTGTTTTGTCTATAGCAACGTCTCCTGAGAGCAGTGCAGCTTGCCTACAACAGCCAGTATTTTTGTGCACCATCAAGGTTAGGAAAGTGATCCCCAAAGCCCCACAGAGCAAACTACTGTAGGACAGTACACATACTGACAAAAGATCACTCATTTAATTCTAATCCCTTGTCTGAAGACATTCATTCCAAACCCTTGAATTAGGAATTATTACTAATTAATTATGACAGAACTAGCTACAATCAGGTACAAATTTCCACTCTTTCTGAAACCTTGTTTGCCAGTGCCATTTTCTTAATGCTTCTATTTATTTTCTTTTTTAACCTAAGCTCACGTTGCATCTAACCCTCCTGCCATCACAATGAAGCTGGTAAGGGACACAGTGGGGTATTAGCTCTTGCATAGCTGCACAAAGAAAAAAACTCTGGGAAAGACAAATTTATAGTGGTAAAATCAGGCTCCTCCTTCAAGAGCAGTACAGATATTAAACGTCCAACCAACAGGAAAAAAAGTAAAAAATCACACCAGCAACATCATTACTCAGCTGGCCTAAGTGGTGTTAGCGTTATACTGGCAAAGGTCTACTGAACCAGCTGCAACAGTGGCACAGTTCTCCTAGCACATGAGGAAAACCAAGGCTCATCTTGCTCTGCCGTGCCACACCAGCAGCAGTGCTGCAGAACTGATGCATGTTACAACACCCAAGGACCTCCTCTGGCAGACCTTTTACCAGCCTCAAATTCTAATCACAACACCTCAGGAAAAGCTGAAGCTTTTTTACTTGCCTTGCAGATTTCCAGCTTGAGATCATAAACCTCTTTATTAATCTCACAGCTACTCATCATCTCTGCCACAGCTTTATGAATAAGACCATTCAAGACTTTGCAGCGTATGGTATCTCCTCTTCTAGTTTTTGCCGGGTCAGCTTGCTTGGTTGGCTCATATATCTTTAAAGAAAACAACAAAGCAGTTAGTACAAACTCACCTCAGGAAGTTATAGACAGTTTTGTATACTTTCTAGTTTCAGAATGTGAGAGTTGCAGCTACCAACCTTTTTATTTCTTAGGCTTTTCAGTAAAGAATAGTTCTGCTCATAGTTTTGATCTTTATTTACTACAAAACACCTCTCTTTTTTTATTATTTTGTACCAACTTATGTAACTCAAAACAGCTGTCTGAAATACGGTGAGTAATAAGTGAAGAGCATCACTTGCTTGAAAAGCAAACATGAAAGCTTGTTTTCTGTACAGGTCTCACATATTTACGTTTTGCAATGCAGTTTATCCACACAGAGAACTACGAGCACCACTAGAACTAGAAGTAAAACAAATTCCAGCACGTAAAGAAAACAAAGGCAACAAGGTCAGAGGACTGTCATGCTGTGACTGGCAACACAACCTCAGATTGCTAATCAGAATTTGCCTCATTCTGACAAGAACTGAAAGCAGTTCCAATCACTGATTCTCATAGCGTGAACACTATGTTCAATAGAGGAAAACCGGGCAGGAGAAAATCTCTGGGATCGTAAAATCCAGTTCCTTGCAAACACTACGGACACCTTTTCACAGCGATGCACAGCGGAGGACGTTATCCTTCCTCCCGGCACGCACGATCGCATCCCGTGAGCATTTCCTTACCATTCCAGGTCCCAGCATAGGGCTGTCGTACCAGAACTTCTTCCTGCCGGACAAGAACAAGGCACTCGGCGTTACCTGCCAGCGGCTCGGAACCGACAGCTTCCCACCACTCCCGCACACGCCGTGTGACACCGCACCGCCGGCAGCGCTTCCCATCCGCGGGAGAAGCGGGGCGGGGAAGGGCGGAGGAAGAGCGTAAGGCCGCGCAGCTCGAAGACGCCCGGCACGGCAGCGCCGTGACCGCGGTCCCGCAGCGCGGCCCGCCCGAGCCGGGAGCGGCGCGCAGAGGAAGCCCGCCCGCCTCCGGCCGGCCGCCGCGGCACGTACTTCTTTCTGCGGAGCATCTTCGTTAGCGGTCTCCCGAAACCGTGCAGCGCACGGCAACTCGCCACGGCCGCGTTCCCCGCCGCCCGAGCCCCCCACATGCTCCCGGACGGCCTCGGCCCGCCGCTCTCCCCGGCGCCCCCTGGCGGCGCGGCGGCCCCGGCCGGCGGAGCCTCCGACGGAAGCAGCGGTAAGGGCGGGGCGCGCCGAGCCGAGGGCGGCCCGCAGTAGGCGGGGTCTTCCGGTGGCCGGAGGCTCGCGGCGCGGGGAAGCAGTGTGCCGCGCTCGGCGCCGCGGCGCCCGGAGGAGGTGACAGCTGCGATGGCGCAGGCTTGAGACTCCGCGCTGTCTGAGTTCTCTGATCGGTGACGCAAATGACAAGACGCGGCAGCTTTTCCACACAGAGGCAGCTTTTGTATTTAACTAAAAGCATTTACACCACAAGTGAGGAGCATCAGTTAAAGTTGCGCTTCCACATCGTATCTGTGTCGCGTACCCCCGTGAATTGCAGGGAAAGGTTCTCAGCCTCGTTTCCTCGCTCTCGGTAACCGCCAGCGGCGTTAAGGTGAAATGCAAGTCGCTTCACAGCAGTACTTCATTAGGGATGGGAAGACCCGCGAGCCCCGCCTCTATGCTTTCCGTCATGTTTTCCTTCATCAGGTGGCGCGTCTTGACGGTGGCGCTTCCGATGTGAGGAGTTACGAGAACATCCTTCATCTGTAACAGAGGGTGATCCCTGGGGACGAAAAGAAGTGCTGAGGTGAGAGTCACTCGCACAGCAGGTTTCTTCGGCGCCTGAAGGACCAGGGAAACGCTTAAAATAGTAATTACAAACAGAAATGACGCTATGACCCAAGCATACTCAAGGCTTGAAAATGAAGTCTGCCTTGCAGCTTTTTATGCAACAAATTCTCCTAGTGAGTCAGCGTGGATTTTGCTTTGCTGCTGCAAAAGGATTGGGGACATCACTTCAGCAGGGCTAGAAACAAAATCACACAGTTTCTACCAGCTTTATCCTGTTTTGCAGCACATGCACTCACTTCTATTTAACTTAAATATATATCCAACCTTGGCAAAGGTTCAGGATAGGTCACATCCAGAGCAGCTGCCTTAATAACTTTGTTTTGGAGGGCCTCCACCAAAGCATCCTGATCAACAACCAGACCTGGGTGACAGAAAAAAGAAAAAAAAACAACTCTTATTTTCATATTGCCACACAATATCATCTTTTACAACTTGTAGGGCTAGTAATGTTCACAAAGCAGAAGCAGCAGCAGGGGGTGGTGAACCAGGAAGAGGAAGCTTGGTTATGCACATGAGAGCTGGACAGTCAGGATTCAACTTCAGAGTAAAAGACACTTTATTAGAGCTGAGTTTCCCAGGACTACTTATATAAAATGAGATTAATAACTGCCAGGGAACCATAATGCAGTTTTATTTATCTTGCGCCTTACCTCTGCTGATATTAATGAGAATGGCTGTGGGTTTCATCAGCTGTAGCTCCCTCTTCCCAATCAGTTTGTGTGTCTGAGGTGTCAGTTTCACAGCCAGCATCACAAAATCTGCCTGCTGGAGCAAGTCATCTATCTTCTTACAGTAGGTAGCTCCAACAGCACGTTCTTCTTCCTTGTTTCTTGGGGGGCAGGGAAATAGGGAAGGGGGAGAGAACTCTAGTCGTAACCAAGAGTTTGCAGAAAAAGTTTAAATCAGAGTTAGAAAAACGACTTTTTTTTTTCCTTTGCTCTTTAGTGAGAAGCAGCTAGTTAATAATACGACTGAAACTAAATGAAGAGAAGCGCTAAGCTCTGCTTCTCATAGTATCAGCCCTACTATGCAAAAATGTGCACTACTACACCCACGACAAGAAAGTGAGAAGTGCATATAAATGCACTGAGTAAATAAAAAGATAAATGCATCTGTGTCACAGCTTTTGGATGTAACAGAGATTCTTTTCCAACCCAAATGCAAAACTGATGTTTGACACAAATTCCCTTCCTTGTGAATAATAACTCAAAAATTGCTGAGGAAACAGAGGAGACAGAGCAGAGGATAAATCCTCAGAAACAGATGACAACAGAAGCCTGCCTGCTCCGTGAATCAGTACTGTCTCACTGGAAGCATACACTGCAAGGTCTGCCAGCATGTTCGTCCCATCAGGACAGTCTGGGCTGTGCACTGTGCTGTTCACATTGGCTTCCCACAGATGTGAAAGATGCACAGCACGTGGGATGGGTCCCTGAGAGCCAGGTGCACAGAATGATACGTGTGCTTCTGTCTGAGGACAGTCAGAAGGGCTGCCGAGACTGACTCTCCTTAGGAGCAGCTAGTTCTAAAAGGAGGAGGTGTTTCTGCCTGCACTGCTGCTGTGTGTAAGTCACAGCAGTAACGTCACCTTAGACTGTTTTCTCCACTCCTCAATCTACTGTGAGGTCACCAACATTATAGAGAGGTTCACAGGGAGATCAGTGAGATTGATCAGTTCTGTTCCTTTCTGACTTGGTTTTCATACAAATCATGAAACCGATGACAATCCTGAAGCCAGCTCACATATTTTGCCACTTAAAGGGAGAGTTGTGAGAGAGCTACAATGGCAAAGCAGACTTTCTTTGCAGCTGTGACCAGTTTTACCTCTGTTTCCTGTTGTGGTATAAAATTTTCATCTCAAAGGCTTTGGCTCTCTCAGCCACTTTGTAGCCAATGGCGCCCATTCCAACGATGCCTAGAGTAGCTCCAGAAACCTCAGCACCCAGCCAGTTGGCAGGGAAATATTCAGTGTCAGGGGATATTGCCATTTGATAGCCTTGGAAGGAAAAAAAGAAAAAGTCACATCAAGAATTAAACGATTCCTGGCATCTGGTTACTTTCTGTCATAGAACAACACAGAAGGAACAGTAAAAAGCTGTTGTATTTCTGGACGAGATCTGAATAGTGATGCACTAGCAACCCAATTTCTTACACTGATTTCTTTCTTAGGATATAAGCATATCCAGACCCTCTTTGGAATAGGAGACAAGGGCAAAGAAGCAACCTCAGCAGAGCTGCTCGTTGTCTTTTTCTGTCTGCAGTGCAAATGAATTATTGCCCCACTAAAATGCAACTCTGCAACACAGCTTCCTACTCATGGGATTCACCAGCAGGACTAATGTGACAGTGCTACAGATGGCACCTGTGCTGTGTTTGCTGAATGGTGCATCTGATGTAACACAGGTTAGGTTGTAGCATCATCAAGACTTTCAGTAAGGCCAAAGTGTGTTTCCCTGCCTTCTTGCGGGTAGAACACAACTGGCAGAGAACAGAAACACAGGAAAGGATGGACAGGATTTCTTAAAAGTTGATGAAAAAAGTCTTAACAGTTTGTTCACAGCAACTCAAATTTATGTCAGCTAGGCAAAGACAGGCTTTAGGGCTTCTTGCCAACATCTCTTTATTAGAACTTGAAAAGCAAGACTGCACTGGACAAGCAGAATGAGTGGCTACGAAGAAGAACCCTCAAGACTTTAGGGCTGTCTGGAAGAAGAAATGTACCTACCTTACTAATACATCTGGTGGGAAACTGAATGCACTACATGCAAGTTACTACTACCAGCATGACAGAGTTATCCTTTTCCTCATCCCTGTTTTTCTTCCAGTACTTCTGCTCCTAAGCCCACCTTTGCATCAGCACACGCTTTCTAATTGCGTGCTTTGAAGAGCCAGCTTTGAAAAGTCAGAAAGCCTTTCAGTTATTACCTTCCACAAGTCTCCTGGAAGATGCCAGCATCAAAGCCATCCCCAAGTCTGCAGTGTCAGTGGAAACAATTGATGGAGTGTTAGACACTTTCACACCATAGCTGGAGAGGAGATTCAGATCCAAGTGATCTACTCCTGCTCCAGAGCTTGCAACTATCTTCAGGTTAGGCAGGCTCTGCAGCAGCTCCTCATTAATAACCGGTTTGTGATACCACATATAAATAGCTCTGATCTTTTTGCCAAGAAAGCTCTTGTTTTCAAGATATTCTTTCATGGTGATGAGACAGAAACGTTCCTTTAGAAATTCAGCATGGTCTTCGTATACCCCATGCTTCCCTCCGATGCAGTCAATTAGCACACAGGGCAGCTCCTGACCCTCCATGTCCTGCAAAAGCAATGAGAAACCAAAATGACATCTCCCGCTGCAGGTTTTTTGAAAACAGGAACTGATCGGCTCGGTTGCATGCTCTTTTCTCACTTGAGGATCGATCTGGTCAAAGATGTTTGCTCTCGTGAGTGGAACACGCGAGTTCACCAACCCGTCTTCAGAAGGATGCGACTGTGATTCGCAAGCACAGTCCTGGCACCAGAGCTACAGAAAAGTTCAGCGTCACACGCCGCCAACAGCAGCTGGCAAGCCTGCTTTGCTGGCTAACAACAAGCAGCAGTGCCCGCCCCAGGACCGCCGCAAAGCAGTACCGCTCTCTCGCCCCGGCTGCTCGAAACAAGCACGCACCTTCCCTGCAACGCAACGCAACGTCCCGTCCCCCACCGGATCCCCCGCCACCGCAGCACGGCTCGGCAGACCCAGGGCGGGCTGGGACACGCCAAAAGTCCTCTCAGAAGGCGCTTGCGGACGGGACCGGAGACGTGAGCGCGCCTGAGAGACAGCCCGCCTCCTCCCGGCGGGAGCGAGCCGCCCGGCTCTCGGTGCGGGCGCACGAGCTGACGGAGCCGGGCCCCCTGCGCCGCTCACCTGCGCGCCGCTCGCCAACACGGGCCGGCAGCACGGGCTGGGAGGGGAGGAAGCGAGGGGGGAGGAGGGGCGGGAGAAAGAGGAGAGGGGGGAGGAGCCGCTCCTGGAAAAGGTGCCGGCGTCGGGGGGACCGCAGCTTGTCTGCGTGGGAAAAGGGATAAGGTGGGTTAACGAGTCGTTTTAGCTGGGTACGTATGGTAAGGTGTGAGCTGATTCTGTGCACTGAGACCTTCAGAGCAGCTCGGATTTTGGAGCTTGATGATCCCTGAGGTCCCTTCTGTGATTCTGAGGCGGTTCCTCTTGCTGTGTAGATGGTGAGCGAGGCACTCCAGGAAGGCTCTGACCTGTGCGGTAGGAGCAGCCGAGAGCCAGAAAACCCCGCCTGAGGCCAGGGACCTCTTTTCCTTCCGAGCCGAGAAGGGACCAGCACTTGTGAACTACTACACTGTCCTGAGCTCTGCAGCACTTTGCAGTTGCACAATTGCATACAGGTCTGTCTCCTGAGTTCTACCAAACACATTTTGGTATGCTGAACATTCAGGCCATCAAGTTCAACATGAGATCCTCTCTAAAGTAACTAAGACAAAATGAAGTGTAATAGACAGTTGTAATGCAAAGTGATACATAACCATAACTTTTTATCTTGTTGGTGACTTTTGGGTATCATTTATTGACGTGAGTTTCAAATTCTCAAGGTTAGGCTTTAAACCAAAAAGCCATGAGCTAGCTAGACGGAGTTAAAGCAGTAACTGGATTCCTGGTACGAGTTCAGTTTTTGACCTTTCTTTATGAGAAAGCAATAAACATTTAGTGCTTACACGTTTCGTGTTTCACATCAACCTCTTGTGAGTTTGCTGATAAGATGTAATGGGTGATCTTTTAACTTACTGCTTATGTAACAGTGCCTGAGATTAAAGGGTCGATGTGAAGTAGAAGATGAGACATTCTACAACTAATTTTCTACCGACTTTTAGTACTGAAGGTCAACAAATCCAGCAGCAAACAAAAACCTTCCAAAGATCAGTGCAATAGTTATCCCACCTGTGCATCAAATCAATAAATTTGGATTAACAGAAGATACCTTTAGACAAAGAATAGGCGATCAAATATTCAAAGCACTGTTCTTCTTGGTAAGAATCGAGGACACATACATCAATTATCAAGAAAATGAGCTTGGTTATGTGGCTACATGGGGAGAGAAGCAGACAGATTCCAAGTTGCTTTGTGTCACTTCAGCAAATTTTCAAGTTTGTTTAGGAGCTGGTATTAAACAGAGCAAAATATGTGACAGAAGGGGTCAGGAAGCCACTCACACTCTGAATGCCTGAAGAGCTGTTTGAACTGCCAGAATGTCACAAATAGCTTTGCATGGGCAGCGGGCAAACAGCAGCTTGAGATATGTGCACGTTGTTGCAGGTGAGTGCTGCACGAGTCCACTGCAATATTTTAGGTACCTTGCATTGGAAAAGGAAGTATTGCTACATGCTAATATTTTATTATTGCTGAGAGAGATCTATTATACTGGCATTATGACAAAGCTCTCTGAAATTCGTAGTTTCTATGACTACAAAGAAAGAAGTATTGCACAACTTAACTCCTAGTTTCATTAATTGTTACATATTGCCATTGGTCTCTGTGTACTACTGCAGGACTGGCCGACGTCTGCAGTGTCGACAAGGTGCTTGCATAATGATTGTTTCTTAAGGTAAGGTTTTGAAGTATTGCATCAACCTAAGTGCACAACTTGTGCACAACGTAATCCATTTCCTAGATGGGATGTTTAACCTGGTTTAAGCATGAAATTGGATGGGGGTATATGATCCTTCTGTGTTTAAAGTAGTGTTATATGTGAGCAGGATGCATAAATACATTAAACACACACACACACACACAACAACCAAACACAACCAGGAGGTCTGTATTCTCATGGTTTTGCTTTTCAGGCAAGGCCAACCCAAGGAAGCAACTACCTCTCACTCACAGATTATGCCACAAGAACATTTGATGCATTTGATGTGCATTTGATTGGAAGCCATCATGAAGCACCACCACTAACCTGCCTGCTTGCTTCAGGTAAGGCCTGCATCTCATTAGACTGTTGTAGCAGCAGTCTGTGCTACGTCATACAGTGTGCCTGTCCAAACAGACCTGCACTAACAGAACAAATGTCACATTTTGCATTACAGTGTCTGCTGCAGTTTTTTATTCTTCTTTTAGAGAGTTTAAAACTGAAGGTATTATGTCTTCCAAGTACAATCTAAGTAGAATAAGAGGAGGGAAACAGCATGGAAAGATGACCTTAACTGTATGTAAGTTAATTTGATGCTATTCAATACGTATTTAGATTGAGGAAAGGTAGGAAATGGAGGAATATTTCTTATGGAATTTGAAGATAAGAGGCACTTGCTTCCTGAAGACACTGTTAGGAAGCTGTACTTCAGGTCATGACTCCCAGTTTGTAAGGCGATGTCAAGTAGTTAGGTGTTGTATTGGAATCAAACCCATCCTTCCAAGCTGACAGCTGCCCAGCACTCCGTCTGAAGCGCTGCACTGGCAAGGAGCACTTCTCTAGAAGATCAGCTCAGACTCCTAAATATCTGCAGCAGTGGAAGTAAAAGCAAGCAAATGACAAGTGCATTCTGTTCTTTTGGGTGCTCGTGAAATGATGTCCTGTTTGCTGCTTCTGTTTCAATCTGGAGAAGTTTGTAGGCGCAAACTCTTTTCTCTAGTTTGTGGATATTAATCTAATACATGGTATTTTTTTTTCATCTGTTCCTGTAGATACCGGTGGCTTTGTTTTCAGCTTTGCAATTTGTCACTTAGCCTTTTATTATGAAAGGATAGACTTACATTTGTCAGGATAATGCTGGTGAGATCAAACACATAGTGGGTGCCTGTACCTCAGGGAACAGGAGGTCTTTTGTAGAAGGAACATGGGACAGTCCTAAAATTCTTGTAAGCAAAAATGCTGCTCCTTAAAAGCTACAGTAATTTGTTTCCCCGAGCCACTAGAGTTGTTATACACAGGTTCCAAAACCTAGGTATGCTAACATTCACTGTTTGGTCTCCATAAACATTAAACAAGCATTGATGACTGCCATTTTTTCTGCATGGAGAAATTCAGTTCCTCACCTTTGCTTCACACACACTTCATGTCAGACAGCATTTTGTCAGACTGCGCCTCTGCTGCCATCTGTCATGTGGCAACAAAATATTATGGAATGTTGGCAGGAAGGTTCAGCCTCTACTCCCATCCCACCAACATCTGCCTCTGACATGATGGGCCAACCTAATGAAATAGTAATAAAAACCTAATGAAATAGTGACAAGCTGCTCTAAGAAACAGGAGGTGGAAATGACTCTGTAAAGATTTATAAAGGTTTATGAGACTGCAGACAGAATCCGAGCTGTGCCTATGGGCAATTTTGCTATGAATGGTACTGATGAATAATCACACTGATCATAAAACCTCACTACATGATAGCATTCATGGCAGTGCCACTTGGAGTTGTGCACTGGAAGTTTGTATTTTAAGACAACAGAGTGTACGTAAGTTTTAGTGAGGTGGATGAACATTCTTCTGTTCAGAGAAATTGAATTAATTAAATTAAATGAATTAAAAAATGCAGAAATCGAAATAATTGATTGCATTAGAGATGCTGTTTCTAGTTTGGTAAAGCCATGGTTTCTTACTATGATAATTGCAGCCTTAAAAACAGTTTGTCAAGTTGCTGTTTCTAATCTTTGTAGTACTGGTGCTCACTGTTGTACCTTGCTTCAAATATAGATATTCCTGCAGAAGGAAATCCTACTGACTTGGGCTTCAATGGTGTTTGCTTTTTCACAACTATTTTTCACGTTCCTTCTGAGTTACAGAGCGGTGCTGAGTCTGACAAGCATTCTTGCAAACATTTTGTGCTAAGTTGAAAATATTCAAGGTAGACTTCGAGTAAGTTTGGTATTCCAAACATGGCAGCACGTCCATCTTGGAGACTATTTTTCATTAGTGCTGTTGTTTGCAACTACAAACTGTCAACTCAGATCTTCTGCTTTGAATAAATGATACTGAGCATGTTTCTGAACACTAATTTTTGTCTCAGCATTTCAGGTCTCAGGTGCTACTTTAAAAGGAGACTTCCACATAGAGTGTCACTAATATTTCTAGTAGGCAGCTTGCACTGTTTGCTTTGATATCTAATATGAATGAGGGGAGCTATGTAATCTAAGCAGATATGTTCTTTAGGACTCCTATACGTTTTTTAAAGTACTGATGTAAAATTGCTATTTTCCCCTTTGTATTACCTCTTTCCTTTAGTCAGGCATTCTATTTCCAAAGTTTTCTAAGAATAATACAGAATGCTGAGACATTTTCTCTTGTCTCATGACTATCTGGTAGCACCCTTAAAATGATTGGTAGGTAGAAAGGATCTGTCACCCAGGAAAGCTCACTTTTGAACATGTTGTTAATAAAATATAACTACATAAAAATAAAAATAACTCTAAAGTGATCTGTTAAAACTTGTGAAGTCCTGTTTCCTCTGCTTTTCCCTTATTTCTGAGGAACCCCAGGCACCCGTACAGGCTGGGAGGAGCGGTCCTTGAGAGCAGCTCGGCAGAGAAGGACCTGGGGGTCCTGATGGACGAGAGACTGAACATGAGCCAGCAGTGCGCTCTGGCAGCTCGAAAGGCAAATGGGATCCTGGGCTCCATCAGGAGAGGGGTGGTCAGCAGGGACAGGGAGGTGATTGTCCCTCTCTACTCGGCTCTTGTGAGGCCCCATCTGGAGTACTGTGTCCAGGTGTGGAGCCCTCAGTACAAGAAAGACATTGAGATTTTGGAAAGGGTCCAGAGGAGGGCGACTAAGATGATCAGGGGGCTGGAGCACCTCCCCTATGAGGACAGGCTGAGGGAGTTGGTCTTGTTCAGCCTGGAGAAGAGAAGGCTGCGGGGTGACCTCATTGCAGCCTATCAATACCTGAAGGGAACCTACACCCAGGAGGGGAGTAAACTCTTCAAAAGGGCTGACAACAGCAGGACTAGGGGAAATGGATCGAAGTTGAAGGAGGGAAGATTTAGGTTGGATGTTAGGGGGAAGTTCTATACAAGGAGAGTGGTTAGGCCCTGGAACGGGCTGCCCAGGGAGGTTGTGGATGCCCCGTCCTTGGATGTGTTTAAGGCCAGGTTGGACAGGGTCCTGGGCAACCTGATCTGAATGTGTGTGTTTGGTGGCCCTGCTAGGTAGGGGGGTTGGAACTACATGATCCTTGAGGTCCCTTCCAACCCGGGTGATTCTGTGATTCTGTGATTCTGTGATTCTGTTTCTCTCACAATAGGCAAATTAAAACATCATTTCTAAGGAGCCTTTCCAAAGCTGCAAATAAGTAGGCAATCAGAAGTTATTTCTCCCAGAGCCTTTTAAAGCCTGCGTGCATTTATCCATAGCTGAAAGTGAGGAGCAGTTTGTTCCTCCACAAGGGAATTAAAACTGTGAAGGCCTCATTACATGTGAGACTCGGCCAGAGCTCTCCCTGCCCATTCTGAACAGGTGTCTCTTAATGGGGAAAAAAAAAAAGAAAAGAAAAGAAAAAAGGAAAAAAAAAAAAAAAGAATAAAAGCATTTAGAGCTGATTGGGAAAAGAAGAAAGATATTTAGAGCTCCTTTTGCTCTTCAGCTAGGCAGCACTTCACTAGGCATGGGAAGACCAGTAAGAGCTGCTAGTATGTTTTCAACTGCTTCCTCTGTTATCATGCGGGTGGCCTTGTCTGTTTTAATGCCAAGGTGAGGTGTTATAATTACATTCTTCAATTTTAGTAATGGATGATCTCTGGAAGAGGAAAAAAGAGAAAGTTAAAACATAACTGTCATTTATCCAAATGAAGAGTCTCGTTTAGGCTTTCACACTGTATTTAACTATAAAGATAATATAACTTTACAATCCCACTGACGTCTGTAGACTTTAATCACCTGTGTTCAGATGATTCTGGGTGTTAAAAGGATGTGTTAAGTATTTACACTGTGCTCTTTTGCCCAAGCCCAGAAACACATTTTTTGCCACGAGCAGCAATTTGCACTACATCAGAACAGAGCACTCTCAGCATATTAACGCTACACAATGCTCTGAGCTGTAGTTATGCAACTCAGGAAATGGGCAGCAATGTCCTGGGCTCCTAGGTCCCCAAACCCCAAAAGCCAGCCACTTCAGTTGTCTCCCCAAGGAACCATTCTGGCAAATGTGCCTGTAGCCTCTGGGCCCAGGAGGTGTGCAGTACTTCAGCTCTGTACTGGAGAAACAAGCCTGTGCAGAGGGAAAATTTGGGACAGTACAGCATGTCTAAGGAGGGCTGATTCAACCAGCTTCCGCACATTCAGTATGTTGCACCTTTAGATAAAACAGGGAGTGAAGCACACGTGTATCTTCAGTGGGTGATTCTGTGGTCTAATACTCCCCTAATGCACAAGCTCCCCCGTGCTGTTTCCTGCTACCCCCACTTCCCTTCAGCCTGTTATCACTTCCAACATCTGGGCCGCATCCCTTATGCACAGCAATTTCACACAAATGTGCAGCCCAGGAGCAGAAGGAGATGCATCTCCGTGACCCCTGCCTGCCAGCCTCATGCAGTGTTTCTGAGGAATGAGAAGAAATGAGATGGTGACCTGGGCAGCGGCTCCGGGTCGGTGACATCCAAAGCTGCAGCCCTGATAGCACCAGTGCGCAGAGCTCCCACCAGTGCCTCTTGGTCCACCACTGCACCTGGGTTGGAATAACAGCAACGCTGAGCGCTATTTGCAGGTAATGGTCTCAGACAGGAAAGAGGGTGCAAAGGGGGAGTGAGGAATTTTTGCCACGCCTGCTCGTTTTCAGCACGTGCACAGCTCCACAGAATGAGCTGGCTTGTATTTGGTAGTCAGGCCAGCAAATACTACACATTTTCCAAATGCTACCTCGGCTGATGTTAACGAGAGTAGCTGTGGGTTTCATCAGTTCCATCTCTCTTTTCCCAATCAGCTTGTGTGTCTGAGGTGTCAGGCTCACCACCACCATCACAAAATCTGCCTGGCAGAGCAAATCATCCATCTTCTCACAGTAAGTGGCACCAACAGCTTGTTCTTCCTGCTCTTTCCTGATGGGGAAACAAAGGATCACACAGCATTTCAGAGCACCGGTCGTGCAAATATTGTCTACCACGATGCCACTGGTGCACAAACGCAGGTCTGCCATTAATGCAGCCAACAGGTGGCAGAGTAGCATGTGTTTAGTGCCTCTGGAAGGCAGCAAGCCCTGCCTGCCTCTCAGCGTCTGCAGTGCAGGTTCGCTGACTTACTTCAAAGTCTGCAAGTGGACTGCAGCTAAGCACAGGAGTGGACACGGCCCATTCTGCAGGATCTCTGTGGGAAAGGTGCACCTCACAGGATACAACAGTCACTCAAATTGGAGTATTCAGATTTGCCAGAATTCATCCCTGGGACCTCTGAGAATGCTCATCCCGTTGATAGCATCCAGCAAACTCGTCACTTGCAATGAATGGAATCAGCAAGGCAGTTCTTTGGTAATTTAGGATGGTTCCTGGCCACTCCAGGACTTTCTAAGCGTGGGTTCTTGGGACTCTCTAAGTAATAAAGCATGTAGCTACACCAAAAGATAACAAATTAAAGTGAGATTTCTAGTTTGAATTTTTCACAGTAAAACAGGATAGCTGCCATTTCTGTTTTCTTGCCTGGATTCTGAGAACTAAAGAAGCAAACATAGGAGAATATGTTTGAAATGTTTTGCTCTTGGTTGCAAGAGAATGACTTGGAATTATCTCTACACTAGAAATAAAGAAAGAAATCACACTAGGCAGATAAGCTCAGTGGCACTTTGGACCAAGTGTCTCTAATGCATGCATTTTGTTGGCTTTGTTCAGTGTCGAGGTCGACAGACAGTGACTGAGTAAGGAACAGGCTGGAATTACAGCCAGTTCAGCAACATGCAGAGCGCGTTTTGCTTCAGCACACAAGGCAGAAATGTAAATGGACTTTAAAACAACCCATTTTTTTCACTTCTGTTGCCATGTGCCTTGCTGTTTCACGACGGCACTCTTAGATATACATTGAAGACTAAGAAATGCTAAACAGAGGGAGACAGTGAAGACCAGCAAACAAATACATAAGTAAGTAAATAAGTAAATAAATAAAAATTGTGCTTTATTTTCTTTTCTCTGTGGTTTATGAAGGAAGTCTGAAGGACTTCTTTCTAAATCCTGCAGAAGGAGGGATTGGTCTAGTATTTTTTGAACATTTCTCTCTGTACTCCTGACATAATTACATAATTTCTTGGAAAGGAAATACTGACTATATGAAAGGCAGTTTCTGCTGCAATTCGGGTCTTTACCTCCGTGTTCTGTTGTGGTACAAAATCTTCATCTCTGGCTCTCAGAGCAATCTTATACCCAATGCTGCCCATGCCAACGATCCCCAGAGTAGCTCCAGTAACTTCAACTCCAAGAAAATCAACTTCACAATACTCCACACCTGGGGAAACGGCAACGTGATAGCCTGCAAAAATAAATATCCAGGATGATGAGTGAATGAGGTCCAGCACAGGTGAACGTGGCCAAAGAATCCACGCTCAAAGTGCGGCTGCAGCGCATTTCACAAGTGCAAACACACAGCTCTGAACAGCAGCCCTTTCTGCAGTATCCTGGGCGATTTCCTAACACAGCATATTTCCCTGCCATGTGTGACATTCCCCATTTGCTCTTACCGTCCCATGAAAAGCATTTTAATAAATCTCCCTAAAAATCATTATAACAAATGAGACTCGTAAGAATACTGATCTCCTCTTCATCAGTAATCAAAACCATTACTGCCAGGGACATTGTAGAGGTTGGAAAAACCACATTTAGAATACCACTAGATGTTGGTGTTGCTATTTAGAATAAAGACAGGTTTCCTGTTCATCTCTGCCACTCTTCTTTGAAAAGGAAGCGTGACTTCTTTAAAAATCACTGCTCGATTGTTTAATTGCTTATCTGTTAAACCTGCCAACTTTGGGGTAGCCACACAAACAGAAAATAAACTTGTATGCACAGCGAGACAGAGATTATTAGCCAGCTAGCAAGGAGAGAGGCTTCTGATGTTTGTGTCTTCCGACATGGCCAGCTCTTGTTAAGCACAAGCAGAATATTGTGAAAGTAACAAAAAATGCCTCAGGTCATGCCAGAGGACAGCTATCGGAAATGGCCCCACAGGGTAATTTCTCCCCTTTGAGTTTCTATGACTCCGCTGGTACAGGTAGCAAATCAACGGCAAGGAAATTTTATAGGATGAACCTGAATAATCTTGTCCTGAAGCTGGAGACATTCTAATCAAGACAAGGATGGGTTAATCTGGGGAATCAGCAAGAAAAAAATTGAGAATTTTGGAAGAAATTAGAAGGGGTGCTGCTAACAGACACTAGAGCAACCTGCTTTGATGATTGCTGATGCACCTTAAATTCCTCAGTTCCAGCTTCTAAGACCAAGCTCTGTCCATAAAGCAGTGTTTTATTTGAATATAAGGTGTTGCTCAAGTATTTGCCACCCATGCTGGTGAACTGTGAAAAACAAACTCTTATGATTTTATTTATACCTGGTTGAAATAGGAGCGTTTCTGTAAGCTGTAGCAATTTGTATATTGAATATATATAGAATATATCAAAGTACAAAATCTTCAATTTTCCAGCCCAACACAGTAAGCTATTCACATTTTGTTGCACTATGGATATCTTCAGAAAAGTCAAACTAGTGGCACATAAGTTGTATCATTTCCAGAAGATACACAATGGAAGAATCAGAGATTACCTTCTACCAGTCTTCTAGCAGATGCCAGCAGCAAAGCCATCCCAGTATCTGCTGTGCTACTGGAAACAGCACGTGGAGCATTAGCCATTTTCACACCAAAGCCAGCCACAAGTTTCAGATCCAGATGATCCATCCCTACTCCTGAATTTGCAATCACTTTCAAGTTGGGCAGGCTCTGGAGGAGGTCTTTGTCAATGGCTGGTTTGTGCCACCACAAATAGATCGCTTGGACCTTTTTTCTCATATTCTTTTTGTTTTCAAGAAATTCCTTCATAGTGATGAGGCAGAAGTGCTTCTTCAGAAACTCCACATGGTCATGCAGTATCCCATGCATTCCTCCAATTTCATTCACCAGAAGCCCAGGCAGCTCTTCTCCCTCCATCATCTGCACAAAGAAGAAAGAGAGGCAGCATCAAAAGAAATACAAATATTTTTTTCCAAATATTTTAAAGAATCATCACTTTCATGCTCTTGTTCATGACAACTATGACAAGAGAGCTAATGAACTGTATATTTAGGCAGGGGGGCAAACAATTTAGGACAAGAAAGCAGCTCTTTTAAGCACATTATCATTTTATATGAAAACAAACTAAAAACAAGCAAGCAAACAAAAAGAGTAACCCCAAACCCAACAACAATGAGGCAAAACAAACATACAAAATAAAGAAACAACAAAAACAAACACCCTAGTCTTCATATAAGGAAGTATGAACAAGTTCTGTCCCTCACAGGCTGTAAGGTCACTGTCACCAGGCGTATAACATGCAGTAATTTCTCATTAATAACTGAGTTTCAGGCCATAAATGCTCTGGTGTATAAATCTTCTGTCCTGTCCCAAAATCACCATTTACTGTGTCTAAGAATTTTAGAAAAGCGCTGGAACAAATAGAACTCCTGCAAGTAAATTGCACGGGTTCACCATGAACTTTGTGATACAGGTTAATTTTTCCATTCTTTATCTCTCCAGCCTCCTGTCCTGAGATGATACTAGTGACTTTTTAACTGCAGTTGCTTAGATGTGTGTTTTTAAATAAGGACTCCAGCACTCAAGTTAAAAAAGGATTACATTATTTTTCTCCAGAACTCACTGACCACTTGTTTTTGGTTTCCAGGAAATCTGTCAATAGACAGCTGTTAAAAAAAAAAAAAAGACATTTAATAGTTACCTTTGGTTTTCAATGGGAATCTTGTAAAGAGCTGGGGGTGAGGAGAGAGCAGGGTGCTGTTGGAGGACTGAAAATACAGGAATTCCCTACAGCAGTGCAGACTGCTGTCTTGTTAGTAGTGTTTTCACTATTTGCTTGTGAATATCTGGCTCTTTGTCTACAGTTACTGTGCTAAATGTTCATTTTACCACGCCTTCAAGAAGCCAGACTGTATTCCAGAATAAGGGAAAGTCTTCACGATTTTATAAAGGTGACAAATATTGTACTGTTTGTTTTTCTTCTCCCCCCACCCCCCCTATTTTTAATGTTTGCTCAAAAAGCAAAAAAACAAACAAACAAAAAGAAAACCCAAAACCATAAGAAAAAGCCTACTGAAGAGCCTGGAAATGTCAGTCCATTGTGACACGCCAGTCACAAAACACTTCCAAGCAGGTTTTAGTTATACCAAGGATGATATGTCTCTGGTTCTGTGCACAGACATCTAGCTCCTCTTGCTTGTTCCTCATGCTGTTTACATTGGTGTACAAATATTTCAAATGTGCTTCATTACACTCAGAACATCATGGAGAATGCTCAAGGGTCTCATTAGCATGCACTCTCTAAAATGTTGGTGTGCTGTCCCCTGTCTTACATCGGGTCAGATTGGTTTTAGCCAGTTTTCCATTCAAACCTAGCCTAGAGCTCTACTGATAAGCTCTGTCAACACGTGTGCAAAAATGTTTGAACCCCTCTGAGAAAGGTGCATCCAACGAGGGTCTGTAGATCATCCTGCAATTGAAAAACACAAAACGTGTTCTGCAGTAGCTGGACTAAGTAAAATATATATAATATAACGCTAAATTCAAAAGCATTATTGATCTGATCAGAGGGTTAATCTAGCACAACTCTCAAAAATGTATCAGTTTTTATTACTGCATTATCAGTTTGATTTCCATTTAGGGATCTGGGGTACTTCAGATTGCTAACTTTCTGGAGAGTGCAAGCAGCTAAAAACAGAGGTAAAACCTGACAGGTGGTTTGCAGAAAGCAGTTACTCCTTGAGAGCTGTGCACGTCACTGTAAGGTCTCAGCTATTTGATGTTCTTTTCTTTTTGCCCCACAGCCATGAGGAGTCGGACCAAAACCCTGCCAGAAGCAC